TATATTTAAAAATAAGATTTAATCATGATAATTAGTATTTTATATATTCAATTACAAATAAAATAATAATAATTATGTATTAAAATAGAATGCTAACTATTTTTCATATAGTAAAATATTAGAAATAAAATCTAACAAAAACTAATGTGTTTATATATACATATATTTTGAAAATTTTACCTAATTATTAATTTATAATTTTGATGGGACCATATATTTACAAAGGATTTTCAAAAAAATTATTATCTTATTATTTTATCGAAATATGTCTAAAATTACACTGGTCCCAACTTGGGACCGGATAAATTTATTAATTTATAGAAGTTATTAATTTATCGAGTATTAATTTATAGAGGTTTTACTGTACTTAAAACTCCTTGATGTCTATAGGTTGTCATTATTATCATTTATCATCACTATACATACAATCTTGACGTCTTAAATATAACTTATTAATGTTTTAGTCAGTTAGTGTAGTCATATATTCTAACTAAAATAATATTGAATCGTTGTTTTATGAGTTTTCAAGGTGAATATAAAGAGAATATACTTACCGAATCCATCAATGAGCAGAGTATATTGGTAAACGAGATCCATGCACAAGTAAGGCAAATTGTCTTCCTCCACAAGCGGGAACTTTGATTTTCCCTCTTCCAGATTCATACTACAAGCTTTCTTTGCTGCTTTCTCAAAGTCCATGGGACGAACTGTCGCAACGGGTTGCTTTGGGTCAACAAATCCAGCCTGTGTCATAAACCAAAACCCATTAGTACCGAGTTTAACAAAAAAAAAGAAAATACAGGTTGTGCATGCAAAACTGTGTTTTTAGTTTAATTACCTCAGCTGCACGGTCAAAGAAAAAAGAAGCAACAAACATATTCTTTTGGCCACCACCTCGACCACCATTCCAAACTCCACCGAATGTGCATTTCATGTGTGTACACAATGTATCATTCACTTTTAATGCGTTGATGGTTATCCTTCGGCACTCGTCAAGACTCGCACCAGATGGTGAAGCAGTGCCTTTGAATTCTTTTCCTCCATACTTGTACATACCTACAGTAGATAAAGTATGTTAGAAGAAACCAAAAACTATTAGATCCAATACTCTTAAGAGAACTGCATATCCAGAGATTTTCTTGCGAAAGGAATGGCAATAATGAGAACATGTGTCATATGTTGAGGATAAATGCAGGCAACTCTAGTTGGAAAGCTCTCATGAATAAAACAATAATCTCTCACCATCATAGCCTGTCACGATGCAGGAGTTGTCTGAATCTTCGGAAACTTTCAAAATCTCTGCTCGGGCAGCCAGTAAGCCGTAATGTAGGTAACTACAAGCAAGAAGAAACCAATACCAACACCTCACATTAAGGATTATGAATGAATGGAAGACCAGAATATCTAATGAGTCCATTAGAATATACAAATGATGTAGAATAACTGCTCGGCTCTTTGGGAGTCGTTAGTATACGACAATTCAAAGACACATGTGAGTATGGTTTGTCACCTGTGAACATAGAGAAAATACTTCCGTCCCTTCAGATACATTTCTCTGACATAAGAATCCTCTCCGTCTAATGGTTTGGGTGCACTTGCAGCATCTTCCTCAGATATAGCATATGCCATTTGAACAGATCCCCCTCCAAGATCAACCACTCCAACCGTATCTGAGTATGGTTTTCCCAAGTTCCTTAGCAAGTAGTTAATTGTCACCTGCAAAGTCAAAGCCAAATAAGACCAAATGCCAGCTTGATTAGGGTTGGTTCGGGTCCAATATCTTGAAATACAATACTATTGTACTTACTATACCTCAAACTATTACAGTTTCCATAGTGAGACACTTGTTATTGAATTATTAAGAACTAGAAAGGATACCGGTCCAGAATTTACTTTTAGAAATGTTGACAATGAAATTAAAAGTATAGATGCAGACACATAAGATATACATCAAAATGACTTCTTGTAAGAGACGAACAAATGTGGGATAACGTACCCACTGATAAGAACCTTCCTGAGTACCATCCAGTACAGTAACAGCATTTGCCTCAGTTTTCAGCATGCTTCTATCTCTCAAGAGTTCCCTAACCTTATAAAGAAAATCATAATAAAGTATAAGAACTAAAGGACCTACGAATGTGGCTGATAATATATGGAAATGTAATTACCGCTTCCAAAATGTTCTCAGATGCTTCATGACCCAGCGTCCTCAAACCTGCCGTTGCCTGACAAGATACAGAGAAAATCACGTCACATGATTCACAAAATAAACAAGGATAATATGAAAGAGCTTCAATTATATATGCAGGGGAGAATTCATTTCCATACTCCAACTCTGACAGGAGTCTTTGGACGCAACTCGCGAGGAACAGAAGCTTCTGCTTTGTCAAGAAGAGACACCAAAGAGTTTGCTGCTTGCCGGGGATCAGTAGGATATGCACTCAACCCTGGTTTTAGCTGAAATCAAATCAGTAAACAGCTTACAGTCAAAGTTTCAACAAGCACCAATAAAGCGAAAACTAAATCAGACATTCAAGCCACTGCAATATAAAGAAACAAGGAGCTAGGTGATGCTAGTTAGGTGAGTTCAAGCTTCATGTTAATTCCGGGAACACAGAGTTCATGTCAATTATAATACAGTGAAAGCAAGGTCAAATAAGCTCTATCCAACAGATATGAATGAATAACCTATGGCTACACAGTCCAAGTTTTTCCACACATTAACAAGTAACAACCATATTGCCTTAAAATAACACAAATGCACCAGTAATCACCATAAGAAATCTGAATCAACAAGTCTGAAAACAACAAAAGATCTATCAAGCAGTGCAGGCGAACTGTAATTCAAGTGTCATATCCAGTAGGCATTCGTGAGATGGATGAAAGAGTAAAAAGGGAACCAATGTATCTCACCTGTAGAAAGAGCTCAAGTTCATTCCCGAGAGGAATAAGATCCAAGTTGTGATCAAAACAGTAAACATGTACACGGCTACCAGAACTCCCAGCATCAAAAATGACAGCGTAGTTCTTGGGACCTCTGGAATTAGGACCTCCCTTACGATTATGCACCATGTACTCCTCAACGACGGAGTCAGAAGTCGATCTCCCAGGCATTAGCAGGAGGACAAGAGCGATCAAGACAATGGGAACGGAAATCACAAGTAGAAGACCACGATGGCGCTGGATCTTGTCAGCAATAGATTCATGGCGGCCAATCCCACGCTTCGCCGTCATCTTACCTCCGTCAGCAGAGTCGGATGTAGGGGAATGGTTACCGGACTCCAGAAGCTCAGTGGAAGAAGGCGAACGGTAGCGTATCTTACCGTTGCCGTTGCCGTTGCCGGTGCCGGATGACGCCGTGGTCTGCGGCGGATCCTGTAACGGCTCCAGATCGACGGTGGATTGTAAGAGGCGGCTTGAATCGCCCGGATTTGATCTGGAGAAAAAGCTTAGGATTCAAACACTTGTGTGCTCCTCCTCCCCAGATCTGTATATTTGTATTTTGTATTAAGCAATAGATGATACAAACAATACAAACAAAAGACGTTATGGGTTACGATTGCGGGAGATGGTAACTCCCCTTTAGGCTTTGGTAAGTGGTAACTCCCACGATGAGCTTACTTAGTGGGTGTTATTGGATAATGGATTTTAATAGATTCTAACTCTAACCGAAGTCTAATGTTATTTAATCAATGATTTTAAATACTTTACTCAAATCAAGTGTTATTGGTTTTTATATTTGCAAAATCTTCATTAAAATAGTTTAAAATCTAGTGTTATTGGTTCTTATATTTGCAAAATCTTCATTAAAAGAGTTTAAAATCTAGTGTTATTGGTTCTTATACTTACAATTATTAACTAAAGTCTTATGTTATTCAAGTTTGGTGGATTTTCACAAATGATTTCATTTGAAAAGCTTTGAGTGAATCTGAAACTGATTTCATGTGTAAATTATGTCAGTCCCAAAACCAACCTTCTAACATGAGATTTGACAATCTAATAAATTAATAAAAGTTTCATTTAACGTAAACACGTACGTTATCAATATTTGCAAACTCATTCACCCATGACCCAACACATATGTATCTCTCTTTATCATTTTTTCCCAGTCTTTTTTTTTATCCCTAGTTAATGTGTATATTGTTTTAACAGCTGTTGTATGATTCATTTGATCACTTTAACAAAACAAAAAAACAATTTTCATCTTTAAAAGATATGTTAAGACTTCAATACAGAAATTTGAAATGGGAAAAAAATACGTGATGGTAAAAGTTTGGTATAATTTCATTGAAAATTGTAAAATCATTTGTTATAGAATTCAATTCTATTGTTCAAAACCAAAAGATATCATGTGTCAGTGTAAATACACTTCCACTGATTTAAAGAATGAATAATAAATCAGTCTCAATGAACCCAGATTTTGAAAGTCTTATGAATTTTAAAAATGTAATGGAGTTGAATTTAACTTAAACAACTAATAACACCCCCTTAGTTAAGCACAAGACAAATTAGTTAAATTTTAGAATAAATAAACCAAAATATATACAAGTAGTAATTTAATTTGTTCGCGTTATTTGCATTAACAACCGCTAATTTTTCATTCAATTCTTTGTTTTTCACTTTACTTTTCATAATTTGGTGGAATCGAACTTGTTATAGTGATAAAACCAACAATACTAAACCGGACAAGAGTAAAAGAAGATTACATACAAACCGGACAAGAGTAAAAAAAAAGATTACGTACAAACCGGACAAATGTGACGTCTGTAAAGAAGACATTGATAAGTCTACAAACAAAAGACAAAGGGATTTGTACTACGGCTACAAACAAAGGGGATGGATTCAAGAAATGTTTTTGACTAGTACTTTTTCGTCAGGCTTTCTTCTGTTTCTTCTGGACTAGACTTGGCGGCGGAAATAGAATTCGAAAGAGCATCGCAGATAATATAGCTCCGGTGAAGGAGCTAACCCAATACACATAGAAATGGTCCCATGTATTGTGAGACTTGTATATATATGCCCACCCAAATGCCTGTACCACAATATATACCACACAAAGACTATATGAATTAACTATGTTTTAATGTCAAACAAAGTTTGAGTTAGGATCAATGAATATGGTAATGAAACTTACAATGGCAGGGTTCATGAATGGTCTAGTGAAGTTAGATCCTACGACAAACACTGATACGGTAGCGAGAGCGAGAAAGAAAGTTTTAGCCAGCAGTTTTCGAGGACCTCTTAGGATTATTAGTAACACCAAGAATGTAACACTGAAACTTAGAATCACTTCTGCGATAGCTCCAATGTGTACTGCATCAACTTGAATTGAAGGCTTTCCTCCAATCATAGTCTTATACTTTTCTGGTATCATCTCCATGATCGTTATCGCACCTCCTGCCGCACCAACTGCCTGAGATTTAAAAAAAAACATAACATCACATAAGGAAACAAATATGCCAGCTTGTTCCCGTTGGTCTAAATTCTAAAAATATTAATGTTTTTGTTTATTAAAAATCATAAACAAAAACATCACTAACACAACATGGACACACACAAAAGAAACTGCAGAAAAAGCCAAACAAACCAAGATACTTTTTTATTCCTGCTCATCTAAGTAGATGAACACATTGTTCTATAGTTACAAAAATAAATGTAAGTAACTATAACTAGAAATTGGTTCTAATTCGAAGAGACAAGACACAAAAAGCGAATACTCATATGAAAAGATGTCACAAGAACTAAAAAAAGATCATCATCATCATAAGTTCAAGAAGAACTTGGTTTGGTTTCAAAAGCTTAGTTAGCTTAAATCATAGCCACACACACCTGAGCAGGAGATCTTATCGCCAAGGAGAAGAGAGAATCTCGAGAAACGCCGGCAGTATAAAACGCAGCGTTTCCACAAGGATTGAAGCTAGCGCCACCAAGAACGTCTCCGATAACAGTGAAAAGGGAGATGGAGACAAAAACAACCAAAGTAGAGATCACCAGAGGTGCCCAAGTGACGCCATGAAACCCGGCTGCGGAAACAATCGCCGCCGTCTGCAACCCAAACGTGGCCGAGAGAATAACCCACAGAAAGGTTATCACCATATCGCCTAACGCCGACTTGACCGCACTCATCGTAAGTAACGTCTTTTTTTTCTTTTTTCTTTTCTTTCTTCTTCTTGAAACGTATCTATATATATATAAAGTTAGCTTTTTCTCTCCTCTCAATGCCACCTAAACATCCACCTAAGCCACATTTTTTTACATTAAAATAAATTTAAGACATTCATTTAGTGCATATTTATGCTACTTATTTAATTAATATAAAATTTATATAAATAAAAATAAATTAAGTAAATAAATGAAATATTAAATAAGAAATACTTTTATTTTTTATTAGTTAGTGGTAATAATATAATTTAACTTTCATTTTAAATTGATCATAGTTTAAAATTTTAAATGTGTTACTGAGTTTAAGAATGTAAGTAAATTTTAAATTTATGGTAGAATAAAAACAACATTTATGTAATTGTATATATAAAATTTTAAAGGGGAAAAATAAAACTGAAAGTGAAATATTAGTTTATAACATGATCAAAAAGAAAATGCTTTTAGTCCAAATTTAAATATTGAAAGATAATAATTCAAGAGAAAATAACTATAACATGTTTTGAAAATCAATTAAAAATAAATAAAATATCATAATATGAATAAAAAATTAACAAAAAAAATTATAAACCTCCCGCGCACAGCGCGGATCAACTGCTAGTTGGTTTATAAAGAAGACGTTGTTGTATTGTTTTGTTTCTTCTTGAAAATGATAGTATTTTATCAGTCCACTCAAAACTTATATTCCTCTTATATAAAAAAAAAATGGAAGATATGTATGAGTGACTCACCTAACTAATAAGAGTTTGAGATAACGGGTTGGCTAAATTTTTATAGAAATATATCCAAATTAATAAATAAAAAATAACACACTAAAGTTATGTTTTGGTGAATCCCAATGGTATTTTAATCTTTCCGACTATGGAAGACGATGGCTTTGTTTTTTTTTTTTTTTTTGCTTTTTCTTTTTTTTAATGTATCAAGTCAGTGTGTACAATGGCCAAATGAATGTAGACACACTATACAGAACAGAAACATATATAAAATAGCTTATTGGAATTGAGCACATGCACAAACTTTTTTCTATATTAGAGTAAAAACGTATACATATTTCATATGTAGGCCAGCTTTGAGATTTTTGTATGTATCTTAGTAATCTGAATTTTATTTGTTAAGGTATAAGAAAAGTAAAAGCAAAAAGAAAAAAGTCTTCTATATCTGGTAGTATTTGATTATGTTTGAATATTTGACTGTTATAGTAACATTTGTTATATAAAATAACAAACAAAAAAATAGAGAGAGAGGAGAATTTCAGAACGGAAGAACATATTTCATATGTCGAGGAAGAGGGTCTCGATCTCACTTAATATATTCAGGCTGACCTAATCAAATTTTAGAAACCCTAAAAGAAACATAAACATAAACATAATAAGAGTGTGAATGTTTTGTTTCTTGTTACTCAAGTAAATTATAGATCGCAAGGTTATTACATTATTATAGTTAGTAGCATTATTAATTAGAATATGAACATAGGAGCGGTCGGCCCTGAGATTTTAACGTACGGGTCTCGAACCTTAAAGAATCACTTTGTGGTCTGTTTCGATCGTCAATATTTAAGTTAGAAAGGTTAAACTAAACCAATGCAGCGTCTACCAAATCTTAAGATTAAGCACTCTCTGAAACAATGAAACTACCGTATACATTATTAACATCATCATTCTTTTCTGTTTTCTAAAAATCTAATTAATCATAAGCTTCTGACTATTATATAATCCAGAGCAGCCCACTACGAGACCCATACAATTTTTTTTCTTTTCTTTTGTATCACTCCCACAAAACATTTTTCAAACATTGATGTTTGGATTTTCAAACATATTACCCTAATATATCTTTAGGAAAAAATTAACAACTCCTTAGTTGTGTGGGAAAAATTACCACTTGTATTTATTTATTTTTTTGTACAAAAATTATTCACCAATCGTATTATTTTCTTTATGCATATATAACCAAAAAAAAAAAAAAAAGTGAGGCCCATTTAAAGAAGGGGCCATTAAAATGTTTCAAAGCAATATATAAAAGAAGAAACAAAACAAAAAGATACTGCTATGTGATTTCCTATACTATTCGTGTTATTTGATTGTGGTGGATTCTTATTAACCCATATGTACATCTTAATCTCTCAGCTTCGGACTGTTGGAATTCAGATCGGCCCAGTATAATATAGAACAGTGTGTTCTCAAAATTTATTGTTTGATTATTGTATGGCCCGTTTTTTCCCCTTATTGGGCCACAAATAACTGCCTTTTAATCAAACTACCATTTTCTGTTTAACTCGTTTTTAAAAGTTTTTTTTTTTTTTCTTAGCTTACGTGTATTTTTTGGGGCTAGTAATCAAAATCAGTAATACAAAACCCTGATATCAAATAAACAGCTGAAATTGTATTGTAATAATAAACTCAACTATTACGGTCAGATTTTTCTTTTCTTTTCCTTCTTAATAACACATGCAAATTTCATATTACATTTCATTTTTTTTAGGATAAAGTTTTGTTTAGTATATATATATATATTGAAAAAGCAAAGCAAATTGAACCGACAAATAGATGCACACAACTGACAAATTTGTTGGTAGAGAGGTATGGAAGGATCAGCAGCAAAAAGGGACTTTTAAAAAATGTGAACTTTGACTGTGTGAAAATGTGAGTGAGAGTCTCCCCCTAAAACCTCCCCCAACTTCTCCACCGTCATCGTCAAGCTTACGCCAAGTCGCCCAACCGTATTTATTTATTGTCACACAGCATAAACTACCATTTTTATATATGAAACCACACACATAAAGCATAAAACTATTTTTTTCAATATGTAACGCCATATATACTCTTATTGTTTTTTTATTTGTCAACAAAATGTAACGCCGTATTCAATTATTTTATTTTGAAACTGATACAAACTTTCATAAAGTTGGCTAAAACTAAGATTTAACTAATACGCTAGCTCACGCTTCTTCTTCTTCTTCTTTTCGGTGTAACGCGTGCGTTTGTTTAGTATAAAATGCCAAAACCTAAATCCATATACTTAATTTTATCGTGGTCTGAAAGTTTCACCATGGATTAAAAAACTTCTACTACCGTTTTAACTGTGGTTGATAATGGCAGATATTGTAAAAGACAAACATGTATGATTTAGTTATGAACCAAAAAAAAAAAAGGTGGCTATGATTTGGTCAAATGATCGTGGCTTGTAGAGTAATTCTCCTCGATACTGAAAATTACGAGAACAGTAAACAAAAGAATGGATTATGAATAGACGTGAACGAGTAAATATTCTAAAAGTAGGAGCAATAAGGTCAACGACAAAGAAAAGTCAAGAACTTGTTTATTTTCTGAATTCTGACCGGATATCACTCCACGAGGCCAGGCTGCTGCTACCACAAGCGTCTGTTTTCAGTTTTTGGACCAATAAATACACTTAGTTTTTCTGTTTTTCAATTATATATATATATATTCTTAAAGATTAAAACAGTGAATAAGATACTATCCTATTACTCAATAGCTTATCAATTTCTTGATATCACTGTTGAAATATATGTATAATTGTATATATACATACTAAGGTCACACTCAATTGTAAACACTGAACTGTTTGCATTCATTAATATAGGCCTCATTGATTGAACATTATGGAAAACTAATAAAATGATGATAACCAATAAGGAATCATCAATGAGCTATACTGCTATAGTATGTATTTATAATGCTAGCTAATAATTAAAAATTATATATCCATCATAAAAAAAATAAAAAAATGCAGGAAATCCATGTGAAAAAGTGGTCCGACAATATAATAGTCAATCATCACGATAGTAAGAACGTAATAACATATAGAGTTAGATGCGTATTCATATCACATTATGAAATGCTGCTGCTCATTTGTTTTATAATTTCTTTTTGTTATATAAAGTGGACATCTTTTGTCAACAAAGAGTAGGAAAGGTAGTTTCGTTTTTAATAATGTGGTGTTGTGTAATGTAACGTAAAGTAAATATGTGTCATTCACTGACAAAAACCTAATTAATACAAAAGAGAAGCCATGGAGAACGACTATAAACGCGTTTCTTACTCTCTTCCCTTTTCCCACCTTCCCCTACACTCTTCGATCATGCCCTTTTTTTTGTCTGAAAACTCTGAAAAGGTTTAGATCTATAATCATGATTTTTTGTAAAATATGGATCATCTATTTTATATAATATGTAACGATGAAGTTGTATTTGAATTTGGATATATCCCACACAAATCAGAAAAATGGTTGTTATAAGCTCGTTTGTATTTTAAAAATATGTAAGAACCTATTGTGTTGTGTGTATATGGATGTTGATATTAATTAAGGTGGCCTAGTTAAATGGCTTGAACTGAACTAAGATAAGCACAGAAAAGTTTTGGAAACGTAATAAGAACTTGAATTTTAAGATCTATCCAAATATCCAATTGATTTTTCCAAATCAACCCAACTTGGAAGAGATTCTACTCTTCAAAGTTTTTTTATTCCTTTTTTCTTTTTAAATGAAAGATATTAAAAAATAAATTTGTGTATAGGATATCTCTATCATAGTTGACTGTTTAGACTTTTAGAGTAAGGCCAAGTTCTTCTTTGCCTACATACCCCACTTCTATTATAAAAAGACAGTAACCTTTCTGGAGATCACTCTTTCTTATTTTGTGTGTTAGTGCGTTGAGAAAAAGAGAGAGAGAGCGAGATAGAAATCGCCATGGCTCATGTAAGTTATCTTCTTTAATCCTTTCTCCTTGTTTCTTTCTGTCGTCTCTAACATTCCAAAAGTTCCATAGCTCTCTCTCTTTTTGGCAAATCGTTTAGTTTCTTCATCAAGTTCCATCTTCAAAAATAATGTTTTATCCTCACATAACACCTTATCTAGCTACCTTACTCTCTCTGATACTATTAAAATCCACCACTCATATATACACTAAGTGCCAAACTTGGTCACGTGTTTGGCCCTCCGTGGTTCTTGAATCTTGAAGAGCTTGAATCCTTTGTTTTTGTGGGTTCTTGAATCTTGAATCTTGAATCACTGTTTCTTGTGGGTTCTTGATTCCTTTGATTCTTGAATCTTGAGTCCTCTTTGTGGGTTCTTGATTAGAGATTTTATTAGCATATTTTTGTACTAATTAAAGTAATAAAATGGGGACAGGGGAGATATGATGATTACAAGAAGAAAAGTGGACAGATTCCTCGGTTTGGAGAATGGGATGAAGCAAATGAGATGCCAATAACACAATACTTTGAGAATCCAAGACAAGCTGGTCTGCTTCGCCACCAAAACTACACCACCACTTCTTCTTCTTCCACTACCACTTCATCTACATCTTCTTCTTCTTCTTCTGCAGAAGCCCTAAAGCTTGCTTCACACCGTCCACGTCACCACCATCCTTCAAGACAGGTTCATTTACTTATTTGATTTTTCTTGATTATATAAATAATAATTATATATTTAATTAACTCGATAAGTGTAATTATCTAAAGTCGTCTAAGAGAAACGCGTTGTTTGGTGGTAAATGACTTGGCGTAGACGGCGGGGATGAGGGAGAAAAGAGGACCACAAAGGCGTGTGCGTGACGTGAGTGCACAGACAGACAAGTATTACATTGACGTCAACGGAGTCAAGCACTTTCAAAACGACGACGTCGCTCCCATCTCAAGGCCACCTAAGCCCGTCGATGAAGATCTCTACAAGATCCCTCCTGAACTTATCCATTCTTCAACAAGGGTAAGTCAACCACCATCTCACTCACACATGACCTTTTCCTCTTAACTAATACTAGTTTTGATATTAAAATGGTACATATAATTACATGGTGTAGCAGAAGAGAAGGCCTAGCTTTTTAGCTTGTTTGGTTCCATGCGCATGAATTTGGGGAAGGAAGAATCAAGAGAAGGAGAAGAAAGAAAAATGTAGGATCAAGAATGAATAATGTAATTTGTTTTGTTGGTTTGTTTAATTTCATTTAATATATACATATATGATATATATACATGGATTTTGGCAGAAAAAAAGAAAAGAAGAAGAGATAGCACACTATTGGTTTATAGAAAAAAGAGGAACAAAGTAACATCGGAGTAGTCCTTTTGTCTTATTGCATATCTACTTTATAAGATTTTCTCTCCTTCTTTTGTCATGTACGTTCTCAACATTTTTTTGTGTGTGCATGTTATTTGTAATGAGGACTACTACATCTTTATAAATTGAATCAATTACAGACTTGAGTAAAAAAGAAAATTAAACATCCCAAAAATATGATTGTAAACTAACAATAACTATATATATATTGTAAACTATTGTTTGCAAGGAAAAAACTTACATAATGGTTGGTGATCGAACGAAGAATTACATAAAGATGTAGTAGTGCTCAAAATGATCTTCAAAACAAAGAAGTAACCAATCACATAAAAGAGTAAGAAAAGTCATTAGTAAGTAAGTAGATGGCCTAACCAACCCCCACTATATATTTCGTTTTCTCCTTGAAGTCAATATCACACTTATGCTACTTTTGAATTTTCGATTATCCCGTGAACCTCTAATTTTAATCAATTCGTGTGTAAAAAAATTAATACTTTTTGAATATAGAATGTATATGTACGCAGCCTGTTTTAATCTACGGAGGATAAGAAATGGTGATGGTGATTGGTGGTGAATGTGGTGGTATTGCTATAAAGTCATCACATTGATTTGATTCTCCATGTTGTTGTTGTTACATCACCCTAGTCCTTTTTTTTTCTTTCCCAATTTTATCCCCACATTATCTCCAACCAATTACTACCGACGCCTTCGTCAAGTTTCTTAATCACGGATAGGTTTATTAACCCCACCATAATTACCTTTTTTTTTAACAAGTAATCAATTATGTTGTGAAGTACAGTAATTACATGTTGTTATACATTTGTTGCTTTCGGTTGACTGGAGTCGACTTAGCCATACATGGGAGGAGACTATGACCGGCCAGCCATATAAGCCGCCCATTCAAAGATAATGCCATTGCCGTCCGTTTGGATTTCGACATATGTTGTATATTACTAACCATTATGACACTCACTAGTCACTACAAAAAGACAACCTCTGCTTTATGTAATCCTCATTTCACGATCTTGAATCAGAAAGTCAACTAAAGAGTAGCAAAACTCAGGAACTTTTCATTCCCAAAGAGGAGAGACTATATACACCTTTGCCTTCTATCTTTAATCTCTACACTTTCTATGACTATATTTACCATCAATATTGGATCGGTAAGAGTCAGTTTGCAAATCTATTTACGTATTAACAACACCTGATTCCTTCATGCCCTCTGTGGCTCTTTACCAGTAACGAATTTCTTAATCCACTGTAAAATCCCTTGTGCCTTCCTCACCGCACGAACTGATCCTTGCTTTGCAAGTTTTGTAAATGTCCCGTGTTTATTCTCCTCTTCTCCTACCACTTTCAGCCTGGATTGGTCTCTGTTTCTGTCACACATGTTGAAGACGATCACTACAGCGTTCTCCCCATTCAGCAAGCTACTCGGTTTCCTCAATATACTGAACAGATCATAGATAAACCCTAGCTTATCCATTTCCTCAATCGCCCGGATGTGTGTGGAAATCAGCGCCAAGAGAGATAACAACTCATCCACATTGCTTCCTGCTTTGACCTTTTTGGTTGCCGCACGTATCAGACCCGCTGAAACCACCTTTTCCTTGTTCTCCAATACAATACAGAGGTTAAAGACCGTGGAAGTGGCTTCTTTTGTGGCTAACACATCACCCTCTTCGATAAGATCAATCAGCGCCTTGACGGCTTCCGAGTTCCCAATGATCATCTTGTTAGAATCAATGGCTGAGAGTGATGACAAAGTCGCTGCAGCGTTTCTCCGTGTCTCAGCTGTCCCCTGTTTCAAAGACTTTGTGAGCAGAGGGATCACTAGACGGTTCTCAGCAATGACTGTTTTGTTCTTCTCAAGAATCGAGAGGTTGAACAATGTTGTGACAAGATTCTCCTGAAGCTCAGGGTTCAAGTCTACTGCCTCGCCCAAAGTAGAGAGCGGACTGAGCAATCGGGTGATCGAACCAGGGAGTTCCTCGACAAAGAAGACACGGACATTGGTAAATTTCTTGGTCTGGCGGCGCAGCTCTTTTGAAGCTTCTGTCTGATCCGCAACGGAGGAGGCAGAGGAAATCCGGTGAAGCAGTGCCTCTATGTCACTAGTGAACAGCTCAGTGACTATTTCTTCAGGTGGAGGTTTTCGCCGATCAAATTTGTTAGCACGACACCATTGCGTAATCAACTCATTGACCAAATGGTTTGATATCCAAAAACCGTGAGCGAGGACTTCTTTGCTTTTGGGACATATACGTTCATGCTTCAGCCACTCTGTGATATATCTCTTTTCATACGTCTGAAAATTAAAAAAGACAAAAAAAGAAGCAAAATCAGCACAAACACTAGAATCTTGCATCTTGAATCATCGAGTCTCCGTCGTTAGTATAAAACAAAATGAACATACTATCATAGTTCTTTTATTGGCAATGTGAATCATAACTCTGTTTCTTTGTTCTGTGACACACTGAAACTTTATATGCGTATACATAAAAAGAAGGTGCATTCTTATATTTACACACACAACAATAGCATTGATACGAATACATGGAAATCAAAACACATGCAAACAAAAAGATGAGCAAGAATCACAAGAAATCGTTAGAAACTTGGAAAGAAATTTACTAATAGAAAGAAAAAAAAACAGAGAAAAGGATCAAACCTGGCCAGAAGCGATGATCACAGGTTCGATCATGATCGTATTGGAGAGTGTACATATGAACTCTTTCGGCACTTTCACCGGAGAAATATCAGATTCCGGCTTTCTCGATTCTTCTACTCTCCTCAGACAATTCAGGATTCTGATCGCTTCATCAATCGCTTTCACAACTCCGAAACAAGCTTCAGTCTCACCGCGATCTTTGCCTCCTCCTCCGTCGTGTAGAATCTCAGCCAGTACTTTCTGTAACTCCCGCCTCAGAGTATCGGCGTTTGCTTCCGTCGCGTCCGCCGTCGAATCCGCCATTTCCGCCGGAGATTTCTCGACGAACACAAAAGCAGAAGAAAAACCCTAGAAACTTCGAGAATTTGGGGAAATTTGCAGTTTACAGAAAGAAGCGAAGAAACAAAAATGAATCAGTTGGGGTATTTTTTTTTATATATAGTTTCTGATGAGTTTATTCATTCATCTTCTTCTACTTCTTCTTATTTTTTTTCTTTCTTTATTTAATTAAACTTCGATTTGGGTTTTAAATAATTACGTACGCCACCTGTGTATTTAGACTGCCACGTCATATCCGCATTCTCTGCATTCTTTTTTGGGAATTAGCTTTTTAGCTGACAGACGACTTTGATTGGTCAGCTTCATTTTACAGATTCGGTGGTTTTTCTTAAATAAAATTCTTAAAGCATGCTTTGTATTTTTTTTTCGTGCAATGTTTTAACTGTCACTTTAATTACTCCACTTGTATTTTAGACCATTAATTTTGGTAATGTACTCCACTAATTAGCTAAGATCGTTTTTCCTTTACGTATTTGCAATTTTATTAGGAAGTCCCATAAGAGAGGCACTCTTTCCTTTTTGCATTTTCATTTTTTGTATATATATATTTAATTTATATGCTTTGTTACACGATACGGTTTACTATTCTGATGTGTAAACGAAAAATAAAGAAAAGCTTAATTTGAGATTGGCGTTTTTACTAAAATAGAGACATGTTCTGTTCACACTTCACACTATATATATTTAACTTACAATACATAACGTATGGTATGATACATTGTTGTCTGGCACATATATATATATACATTATATACATTCTAAACAACTATCTTTCCTGCTCTATTTATTAAAAAACGATATATTATATTATCACTATTGATATATATGTTTTTTGGTTAAAAATCACTATTGACATATAGAAATAGAATTCGCTAGTTGTTGTAGTTTGAGTATACGAAAAATGCATGGTGGAGTATACATTTTCTTGTGGTTATATAGTTTTGAGTATACGAAAATTGAGCAACATGCATGCATGGTGGAGTATGGTACTCTTCTTTTTCTTGCGAGTATTGAAAGAAAAATGCCTACAGTTTTGTATAGCTTGCTGATGAGATTGAGTGGTTTGTATAGTTTTCAAGAAGTTTGGTTCGTTTACCCGGCCCAACCAAAAAATATATATCAATCAGCTTTGTTGAACACGATTTAGAAGATAAAAAATACAAGAGAAAACATCCACATGACTTGCTGGTTTTGCGCAGTCTCCATTGTGTGTCTTTATATATACATATAGCCATGTGTCATGATTATCCTACTTTTGGTCCCAAATTTTCAACTAAACTTCTCTGCATCACTCTTTGTGCTATTTACACTTTTAACGGTCGGCATAAAACGAAACGTATATAACCTTTTTTAAAAAACTAATCGATAAAAATATCTTGTAGCTATCCTTTATACTTGAAGCCAAGAAAAATATTCTCTTATATTAAAAAAAAAAATCTAGAGAGAAAAAGGGAGACAAATTGTTAAAATGATGCATCAGAGAATATGAGATGGCTATAAGGATCCAATGACTAGATGAAGTTTTGATTTTGAATATCTCTCTCAGTGATCATAACGCACTATTCGGAGAGATTCGGACAGAGTGAAAATCCTGATCCACCGTGAAATATATTTAGCTTTTCTGACCACACCATCTGATCCTTGCCTTGAAAGCTTCCCAAATGTCCCGTGTGGAGTCTCCTCGTTGCTGAGCATTGAGTGTCTATGCATGCCTTTGATTTTACCAAACATGTTGATGACGGTATCTAAAGCGTTCTCACAAGTCACCATGCAACTTGTGTTCCTCAAGATCTCCATCACGTCAGAGACAATCTCTAACTCCTCTATTATACCCTGAGCCCTGCTGTTTGAAGATATCGGTGCCAAGACAGATACCATCTCCTCCACGTTTCTTCCTACTCTGATATTTTTGACTATTGCGGGAATCAAACCCTCTGAAATCGCCTTTCTCGTGTTCTGCTGCGAGTCAAGACAGAGCTTGTAAACAGCGTAAGCAGCTTCACCTATGTCGTCAGCCGGCTCCCCGATACGATCTATCAAAGCCTTGAGTGCTTCCGAGTTCCCGATGATGATCCTGTTGGAATCAATGCCTGAAAGTGTCGACAAAGTCTTTGCAGAGACGTTTTTTGTTTCCTCTGTCCCCTTCTGCAGAGACTTTGTAAGCAGTGGCATCACCTGAGGATGCTCAGCAATCACTGTTTGGTAATTCTCAACAGTCGAGATGTTCAACAATGATGTCATGATATTCTCTTGTAGATCAGGATTGGCGTCTACGTCATCGCCTAATACAGAGAGCAACCTGGTGATCGAATCAGGGAGTTCCGTGACAAAGAAGACACGTGCGTTGACATATTTCTTGGTCTGGCGGCTAAGCTCTTTTGCAGCTTCTATCTGATCTGAAACCGAGGAGGGAGAGGAAATACGCAGAAGCAATGATTCGATTTCACCAGTGGATAGCTCAGTCACTATGATATCATCATCAGATGGTTTTGGCCGATCAACTTTGTTAACAAGACACCACTGCGTAATCAAGTCATTGATCAAATGGTTGGGTGTCAAAAACAAGTGAGTGAGGACTGCTTCGGTTTTGGGACATATATTGTTATGCTTCAGCCACTCTGTGATGTCTCTCTTTTCATAAGTCTGAAAGAAAAAGAAAAAGAAAAAAAAGTAAAGGGCAAAAATCAGCACAAACAACAGAATCTGTATCTTGACTGTCAAGAAACACAACTCGATCGTTCTATTGTTTGCATAAGACAAAATGAACATATTTGTATACGTACACATTCATAATATCATGGATGCTTTCTTGGCAAGCTGAACCATAACGCTCTGTTTCTTGTTTTATGATACCAAAACTAGAAGGTGCAGTTATACAAGAGCGCTTTCATCTATGTATCAAAATAAAGATGCATGCAAATAAAAAGATGAATGAAAATCAAGAAACCTGGCCGGAAGCGATGATCACAGGTTCGATCATGATCGTATTGGAGAGTGTACATATAAACTCTGTCGGCACTTCCACCGGTGGCTTATTCGACTCAACTTCCCTTAGACAAGTAAGAATTCTAATAACAGCCTCATCAATTGTTTTCAAGACTCCTTCATCAGTCTCGACTCGATGATCTTTGCCTCCTACTCCGTCGTGGAAAATCTCCGTCAGTACCTTGTGCAACTCCAGAGTCTCGTCAGCGTTCGCTTCAGTCACGTCCGCCATTTCAACCGAAGATTTTCTCAACGAACGTACGCTCTCGATCGATCCACACAGAACCCCCAAAGCAAGAGAAGCAAAAAGCCTAGAGAAACTCGAGAATAGTTGAAAAATTAATATCTTTGGAATTTAGAGAGAAGCTAAAAGAATCTGTTATATAACAGTTATAGAGATGAATTTGTTATTCTTGCTCCTCTGCATGTTTTTCTTTAATGTTTATTTCATATCTTGTAAATGTAATTTAATATAACTTTTCTGTTTACTAATTTGATGTGTCAACAATATATAAAGACGAGATTTAATACACCAATATATTATATTAGGGTATGCTCGTTTGCCCCAACCAACAAATAAAACCTTTTGTCGAATATGATTTTATACGATGAAAATAAGGAAAAAAGGTCAAATTAATTCAGACTCCATTGTGTACAAAACTAGGGACCTATAGGATCCAATGACAAGAACTTTTGATTTTGAAAACTCAGGCCTCTGTGCCCTCAGTGGCTCTCTCTTTACTATCAGCGAACCTCTTAATCCACCTTAAGATCCATTCGGCCCTTCCGACCGCATTATGTGATCCTTTATGTGAAAGCTCCATAAATGTCCCGTGTTTAATCTCCTCTTCTTCGAGCATTTCCAGTCTAGACCCGTCTTTGTTTTTCATAAACATGTTGAAGATGATTTCTACAGCATTCTCACAAGTCATCGAGCTACTCGGTTTCCTCAACATCCCCAACAGATCATTAAAAAACCCTAGATCCTCCATTTCCTTGGCAGCCCTGCTGTCCGTACAAATCGATGTCAAGATATTTAGCATCTCATCCACATATCTTCCTGCTTTGATATTTTTGATTACTACTGGAATCAAACCCGCTGAAATCGCCTTTTCATAGCTCTCCGATCCATTACAGAAGTCGAGAACAGCGTGAGCAGCTGCTTCAACCGTGGTATCTGGTGACGACCGTTCGAGTAGATCTATCAGAGCCTTGAGTGCTTCTGAGTTCCCGATGATGATCCTGTTAGAAGCAATGTCTGAGAGTAACGTTAGAGTCGCCGCAGAGGCTTCTTGTGTTACAACTGTACCCTTTTGCAGAGACTTTGCAAGCAGTGGCATCACATGAGGGTTCTTAGCAATTACTGTTGTATCCGGTTGAGCAGTCGAGATGTTCAACAATGATGTGATGATACTCTCTTGAAGCTCAGGATTGGCGTCTACGTCATCTCCCAAAACAGAGAGCGGAGTGAGCAACCTGGTGATCGAATTAGGGAGCTGCGCGACAAAGAAGATACAAGCGGTGACATATTTCTTGGTCTGGCGGCTAAGCTCTTTCGCTGCTTCTAGCTGATTTGAAACCGAGGAGGGAGAGGAGATACGCTGAAGCAACGATTCCATGTCATCGCTGAACAGTTTCATGAATAGTTCATCAGATGAACGTTTTGGTCGATCAACTTTGTTAACTCGACACCATTGCGTTATCAACTCATTCATCAAATGGTTTGGTGTTAAAAACATGTGTGAGAGGACTTCTTTGGTTTTGGGACACGTACGGTTATGCTTCAGCCACTCTGTGATGTATCTATGTTCATACGTCTGAGAAAGAAAAAAAAAACAGAGTAAAGAGAGCAAAATCAGCACAAACAACAGAGTATGTATCTTTGAACCCTAATTCTTGACTGTCAAGAAACACTCGATCGATGTTTGCATCGATCTGTTCTTGGCAATGTGGAATCATAACTCTGATAAACTAAAACAGTAAGAAGAAGAAAATGACAAAGATCAAACCTGGCCAGAAGATATGATCATAGGTTGGATCATGATGTTCTTCGAGAGTGTACATATAAACTCTTCCGGCACTTTCAACGGTGGCTTCTCCGATTCCACTTTCCTCAGACAATCCAAGATTCTAACAACAGACTCATCGATTGCTTTCAAGACTCTGTTACTTCCTTCATTCTCGCCGCCATTTTTGCCTAGTCCGTCGTGGAAAACATCCGTCAGTACCTTGTGCAACTCCAGCCGCAGAGTATCGGCTTTTGCTTCTGTCGAGTCCGCCGGCGAATCCGCCATTTTCAGCCTGAGATTATCTCGATAAACTCACGAGAGAATACACAGGACCCAAAGCGAAATAGAAACTTGGAGAATTGTGTACTTAGAGTGAAGCGAAGAAGAAACTGTTAGTTATATTATCAGTTTGATGAGTTTGTTATTCGATTTAACTTCTGTTTTTTTAAAAAAAAATTAATAACATAGTCCTCGTCGTTGTTGTCAATATACTCATCTTTAAGCGAAATAAATTTGCCAATCATAATGCAAGCCTCTTGAATCTCAAACATATAGAGTCTAAAAAAATCAACATGTAATATCTTACAGGATCCAACATTTCTACAAGATAGGTAAGGCTTTTCCTCAATCTTCATCGAACCATATGAAATTATTCTCAATATCGCTGGAGATTGTTCCTGATGAATTTAGAAAAGGCAGCTTGCAGTGACGTGTGATACAATCTGGAATAGTGTCAATATAGTTATTCCTGAAATAGAATGGTCGAGGAAGATCAGGGTTATGAATGTTTCTCATCTCCATCACCAGATTATGACAGAACCGAGAGCTCTGGAAGATCTCTACAGGAAAGCTCTCAACATTTTTGCATCCCAGGAAATCTAGTGTTTCGATATGTTCCAGCCTAGATATCCCAGAAGAGATGCTTCTTAGCTTCATGCAGCTATTCATCAATAGTTTATTGAGCCGAAATAGTTTCTCGATCCACAAAGGGACTTCTTCAATCCCTGTTCTGCTAAAATCCAACCATTCTATAGTGTCTGGAAGACATGGAAATGTCTTAAGGCTCTTGCAGCCTGACATGTCCAGTGCTGCCAGACATGGCCAGGACGCGACTGTTGTGGGAACTTCTTCTATTGCAGTTTCTGATAGAGAGAGATATCCAATCTTCGAAGAAATTTCTGGAAAACTCTCTAATCGTGAGCATCTATCGAGATTGAGGATGCTAAGAGATTCCAAGTTCATATTGCTGGGGAAAATCTCTAGCTTTGAGCAATACTTCATGTCAAGAACAACCAATTTGTTAAGGTGCTTGAACGAGGAAGGTAACATCACCAAATTTTCACAATGGCTGAGACAGAGTTCCTCGATATTTACGGCTTTTGAAAGATCAGGAATCTCTTTTAGATTCGCAGACATACTTAAATCCATCTGCTTTAGACTTCTAAGAGGCTAAAAAAATCCCACATGAAACAAATAAAAATTGACAAACAATTAGATAATGTTAATGCGAATTGAGAAAGGAGAGCTATCAAATTAACTTACTTGTGTTCCTTCCCACAGCTTCTCAAGTTGGCTCTTTCTTAGATTGATCACAACAAGAAACTCTGGACGAAAACTCAGAGGCATTGATGTCATGGGGAATGCATCCCAGTGCAGCAGCCTGAGTTTACGGGGTAAATAATCCAATCCCCGAGGTAAATGCAGCTCGGTTTGATCTTTCCTCGGAAAGGAATTGTAAAATCTTAAAAACAACAGATTATGCATCCCACAAAAAGCTCTTTCACTAAGAAACCACTCATTGATCTTTGATATGTCCAAAGATATGCCCAAAACAGCTCCAGTACCCTGAAACACAGAGATATCAACTGAAAGTAATGTTTATGTGAAACTAAAAATGAAAGTAACGTGGCAAAAAATTGACTTACAGTGTGATCAACAAGTACATCATATATCTCTGAAGCATCAACCAAGAATTGACGTTTTCCAGGCTCGTCAAGGGATTGTTCACAAACAACTTCTCTACCCAATTGTTCTAGCAAATTGTGCATCGTAATGGTATGACTGCATCTCGATATGTGTATGAGAGATTTATTGGTAAGGACTTCAAGCCCAAAGTTGACATCCAAGCCAGAACTTGCAAGTACTTGCTTCACATAATCAACGTTCTCACCATTAAATAAACACGCAATATGAAGGAATATGGCCTTATCCTTCTCGTGTAAACCATCATATCCGACTCTTAAAACATTTCTAATGTCCTCATTTAGACTGGTTCTGAGTCGAGGCAATGCTGATTTTTGTTCATCTTTGCTCATCCCTCGCAGAGAGGACCCCAAAACCTTCAGAGCTAGGGGAAGATAGCCAGCAAGCTTTGTAATTTCAGTAGCAATCTCAGTACAACCATCTGGTGCAGAGCTGTCTCCAAATGCAGATTGGCAGAAAATCTGAAGAGACTCACGTCTAGATGGAAAACCCAACTCGTATATGAAATTGATTTCATGCGCTCTCAAAAGCTGTTTGTTTTCCGTGGTCACGATGATCCTACTTCCAGAACCAAACCACTGAGTCTGTTTCACTAAGGCATCAAGTTGTTCTAGGTTATCAACATCATCAAGAACAACAAGAACTTTCAGATCCTGCAATCTTTCCTTTACCAAACCTAAATCATGTATCTTCATACGCTTATGATCAATAACTTCAGACAGAAACTCTTCTTGCAAACGCAGTTTGAAGCCATAGCTATCAAGTTCCGAGCTCTTAGTACTTCCCTTAACATTCTCCATAAAAATAGTGTGTTGGAAGTTTTCAGAGAGTCGGTTGAATAAAGCTCTGGCAACTGTTGTCTTGCCAATTCCTGCAGGACCCCAAATCCCCACCATCTTCACTTCAGTTGATTCTAGACATAACAGTGAATCCATCTCTCTCATATGAGCGTCAATTCCAACCAGATTATCAGCATCTCGTGATGGTGTAAAATTCAATTCATTTGAAATGCTCATAGCAATTTTTTCAATCATGTCTGCTTCATTGTCCCTATCAAGAAGAAAAGATTGCTTTCACCAAACCATAAAAATAACGAGAACAAGAAATTCAATGCATTCATATGAAACAAAGTTTGGATATTATGACTAAAGGAATCAGAATAACTAACCAATTTTGAGAAGACTCGCCGGCTATATTAGCCATATAGACCAAAGCTTCTCTCCATCTCTGCTTCACTTCCTCATCTGGCTGTCCTTCACATGCTTTCTCAAACGCCTTTCCAAATTCTCCTCGTAGTTTCCTCACATCAGATGGATCCACTTCGTAGAAAACCGGCATGATGTTCTGGCTAACATTCTTTATCTCCACCAACTCATTCAAACACCAGCTTGAAGATGCATAGGTTCGCGACAGCACTACAACCACAATCCTAGATTCCCTTATAGCATGAACGAGCTCAGAACTGATAATTTGGCTTCTCTTGATATCATTATCTATGAACGTACGGATTCCTTTTCGCTGGAACTCCTTGAGCAGGTGGCTGAGAAATGTTCGACGGACGTCTTTGCCGCTGAAGCTTGGGAACACATGGTATCTCCAATGGCAAGACTGCAATGACAATGATGAAGAAACTGCCATGAGAGAAGCTGAAAAGTATAGCTTATAATCCTTCTTTGTTTGTTTATTTGGAAAGGAAAAGTTACCACAGATCTTGAGGGATTGATAGATATATCTCTGGACCCTTATGATTGGCTTGTGACTTGTCCTCTTCTGCTTTGCGTCAAGACTTGAGATACTCTTTGCGCGTTCATAAGGTTGACTTTTTGCCTCGTATTGCGTTTGTACACACACAAGAGTTTTAATTCCAGTTTCGAAGTAGTTGAATCATGGATCATTTTTCCCAAAAGTTCAAAAATTACGACCAAGGTCAGAAACGCTCATACCTCTCTTATGAGTTAACACTTTTGACCAAAATCTTCCGGTTGTCAATTGTCACATTTGAAAAAGGTTTTGTGTTTAGGACCAGCAAGTTAAAAATATTCTTTGATTACTGATTGAGGTCTTGAAAGCAAGAATGGGACTACAATTCTAATCTCGTAAAATAACCTACTTCCACTAAGCAGACAAACCAAATTTGCCTTGCAAAGATTGATTTTCTTTTTTGAAATCCAATGAAAGCAAGTCAAAGGAAGAAAGCCTTGAGATATGTAAATGGAAAAATCAAATCCTCTGCATTATTTCTGTTCTGAAAAATGAAAACAACATCAACCTAAGCAATAAGCATAGTCGAGAACACAACTTCTATATTGAGTCAACTCAACAAGAGCAAAGACTACTAACTACAATTAACATTTAGCCCATTTGCTTAATGGAGATTTCATCACTGTAAGCCAATTACATCAAGCAACAGTCTTCTCATAAACTGAACTAGAACTAATATTTAGACACAAATGGAGATTGAAAGGAATGATGATTAACCTAACCTTTGATCGAGAACTATACAGATGTCATACATATCAAGACAAGAAATAAAATAGTAAAAAGGCAGACCAGACAATGAAATAAAATAAGAACTTTAAGATAAGAAACGATAGCATAACATAAGTTTCTTGGAGAATCACCATTATCCAAAAAAAGCATAAGAAAACTGAAATTATAAAATCTAACGAGTCTCAGATCACAAGTCCATACTCAAATACTCCAAAAAAAACCTTAAGATGATTCGAAATCGAATAACAAAAACAAACCAGCATTTTTAACGGTAACTCTTCTGGAAACGAGAACGAGCACCACGACCTCCAAACTTCTTCGGCTCACACCTCCTCGGATCCGCCACAAGAAGAGTCCTGTCGTACCTCACCAAGATATCCTTAATCTCCTTCTTCGATTGCTCATCCACATACTTCTGGTAGAACGCAACAAGAGCCTTCGCGATACTCTGACGGATGGCGTAGACCTGGGAAGTGTGACCACCACCGTTGACACGGATCCTCATGTCCACGCCTGCGAAACGGTGCTTTCCGAGGAGAAGGACCGGCTCGAACACCTTGAATCGGAGGATCTCAGGCTGGAAAAGCTCGATTGGGCAACCGTTGAGCTTGATCATACCAGAACCACGCTTGCAGTGGGTGACGGCCACTGCGGTCTTCTTCCTTCCGAAGCATTGCACTGATTCGACCGCAGGTTGAGTCGCCATGGTTACGGTTTCTCTTTCGTCAGCCGCTACAAAGAAACCTAATGCTGAGAGTGGGAGGAGAAATGAGACATTTAGGGTTTTAAGTGATCAAACTAGGGCATCCCCTCTAAACGCAGCGTTTCGATTAACTGTTAGAATTAAATAAAATTAATAAAATTAAAATTAATATCCCACGTCACTGGTTTAAGTAAAATTACTATCTTCTCTCTCAGAGCTCATCTCGTCGGAGAGATTGTTCCGGTGAGAAAATGTTTCTCCTCCGGCGTTATACCGGCGGAAGCCTTTACTCGATCTTCACTATCAGAGCCTCTATTGAATCTAGTATGCGCCATTTCAACAGTCTTGAGCCTTTGCAAAGCTCTGATTCGACTTCAACCAAAGGTGATTACTTCGCAGCGATCAACCACGTTGTCAACATCGTCCGCCGCGAGATTCATCCGGAGAGATCGTTGAACAGTCTCCGTCTCCCTGTAACATCCGAGTTCGTTTTCAGAGTCCTCCGCGCCACCTCTCGTTCCGCCAACGATTCTCTCCGGTTCTTCAATTGGGCTCGATCAAACCCTAGCTACACACCAACGTCTATGGAATACGAACAGCTTGCTAAATCTTTAGCTTCACATAAAAAATATGAATCGATGTGGAAAATACTCAAACAAATGAAGGACCTGTCTCTCGACATCTCCGGTGAGACTCTCTGCTTCATCATTGAGCAGTACGGTAAGAACGGCCATGTAGATCAAGCTGTGGAGCTCTTCAATGGTGTCCCGAAGACACTCGGATGTCAACAAACCGTTGATGTTTACAATTCGTTGCTCCATGCGCTTTGTGATGTGAAGATGTTCCATGGCGCTTATGCTTTGATCCGGCGAATGATAAGGAAAGGTCTCAAGCCAGATAAGCGAACATATGCTATCTTGGTCAACGGATGGTGTTCCGCGGGGAAAATGAAGGAGGCTCAAGAGTTTCTTGATGAGATGAGTAGGAAAGGGTTTAATCCACCGGCTCGTGGGCGTGATTTGCTTATTGAAGGATTGTTAAATGCTGGTTACTTGGAATCTGCTAAAGAGATGGTGAGTAAGATGACTAAAGGAGGATTTGTTCCTGATATTCAAACTTTTAATACTCTGATTGAAGCTATATCTAAATCAGGGGAAGTTGAATTTTGCATTGAGATGTATTATACAGCTTGCAAGTTAGGTCTCTGTGTAGATATCGATACTTACAAGACACTTATACCTGCTGTTTCAAAGATTGGAAAGATTGATGAGGCGTTTCGGTTGTTGAACAATTGTGTGGAAGATGGGCATAAGCCATTTCCGAGTTTGTATGCTCCGATAGTTAAGGGAATGTGTAGGAATGGGATGTTTGATGATGCCTTTAGCTTTTTCAGTGACATGAAGGTGAAGGCTCATCCGCCTAACAGGCCGGTTTACACTATGCTGATTACAATGTGTGGTCGTGGTGGGAAGTTTGTGGATGCAGCTAATTACTTGGTTGAGATGACAGAGATGGGTTTGGTTCCGATATCACGGTGCTTTGATATGGTTACTGATGGGTTGAAGAATAGCGGGAAGCATGATTTGGCTATGCGAATAGAGCAGTTGGAAGTTCAGCTTAGAGGAGTTTGATTTTGCAAAACTTAGAAAGGCTTTTAATGTCTTTCCTTAGTCCTTAGCTCAGATACTTAAGAGCTGGGTTTCTATAGCAAATTCAGCTGCTTTTCCATTGATCTACCCTAGTTCAGTTCAGTGATGACAGCTGAATTGTATCTTGTAGTCAAAGCTTGTATAACTGTTGGTTAGGTTATACTTGGATTCGAATTTAGTTTGTCTCCGGATTATTGTAGTTTCAATCCAGGGAAAGAAGCGAGAAAGTAATTACGTTTTGTTGTAATGTTGTTTTAGATCTATCTGTCAGATCATTACCACATATTGTTCTCTTTGGAAACAATGAAACACTCAGATAACACAAGCTCTGGTGTTAATAATATATTGATTCGGCTGTTCCACAGATTTTACACATTTCACTTTCACCACGCTCACTTACCTTTCGTATCATAACATTTCAACCGGATAAATCTTTACTCTTTAGCAATCTTTACTATTTCAACCGGATAAATCTTTCTCAGTATCCACATAATAAATAACTGAACCAGCGTTTGCACCAAGCTACTTCACAGACTGAAAGTTGCAAAAGTAAGGTCCAAGCCAGACAAACACAAATAATTATTTAGCCAAATGCAAAACTGTTCTTCATTGATACTAAGGTTTGTGTGCTTTGTAGGTAACACCAACAATTTTCTATAAAGCCTTTAGAGCGACAAAATAAGAAGTACCAACAAACAAATTATACGAAAGGACACAGTAAACAGTGAAACTACTCTGCCATTAGCAAAATGTTTTGGCCTCGCACATGCTTATATGTCAGCTTCAAGGAAGTTTTGAGATAGGGAAACCTAGAGGAAGAAAGAGTTACATGAGTAAAGTGTATTCTTATTAGGATCTACAAGACTTTACAATGGTGATATATATATATAAATGATCAGTTACCTTCTCGCCTAATTTGAAAGGTGGCAAACCCTTGTAAGGGCATGTACCGCAGCGGAAGGCATCACCGAGCCCACACTGAAAGAATTGTTTTTGAAATTTTCAGTCTTGTGGAACCAAAAATCCAATGCATACAGAAAAAGATATGGGTAAAGAAGCTTACGCTGCCACATGATGATTGTGGATTCTCAATTTGATCCTCTGTGAGGCCCAGCTTCACAGCTTTCTCCTCAATCTCAGCTCTACCACAGACGCAGTTCTTGCAAGCTTTTTTGGTGGTCTCACAACCGCTGGCTGCAAAAAAAAAAAATACATGATATCTTACACACAAGGTATGAATAAGGATAAACAAATATCATGTGGTTTACTTTAATTACCAGCAGGAAGCTGTGGCTTCTTCAAGTCCTCCTCTGTTAAAAGAGAATCTTCATCAATAAGATCCGAGTCCTCGTCTAAATTAACCTTTAAGAGAACTTTTGCAGGCTTTTTGAGAGCAAATGATGAACCAATCTTCCAAGAAGGTTTCTTTGCCTTAATCTGCATTTAACAACATGTTTCTCTGTTATTCGATGAGGAAAAGTGAGAAAATATATGTAAATTTGACAGATAAGTAGAATGAAGATCTTTCATCCTTCATGTTAAAGGCCAGCTTTTCTAGATTTGATTCTTGTCTTCGGGAAAGAAGAATCGTTTCCTGATACTAAAAGAAAGAGAAGAAGACAGACAAGACGTGTAAAACTGCTCACCCCAAAGGATAAACTGAATGAAGACAACTTAATTGATTTCAAATCAAGACACTGCGGCTCCAGAAAACCAGCCAACGTCACTCTCCTTTGAATGGTCTGCAATGAAGATGCCATAAGGTTAATCAGTAAGATGTGAATTAAACCCCATTACATAGACTAGTAGAGATGCACGACAGAAACCTGTTGCATTTCCTCCGCTTCACCGTCCAAATTCTTGCACACAAAAACTATGCCACCAGGCTTCAAGATTCTTGAGAACTCACCACAAATTTTGTCACTGGGAAAATCAGATGTTTTGGAAATGGCTAAAACAGCATCCACTGAGGAAGAATCCAAAGGAAACTGATCTGCAAAATGATCAATCGTCCAAACATAATGAGAAGAAGACACAAACGAATACCCTAGCAAGTCGTCACCCGAGAAAAGCACTATCTATCTGCTTTAAAAATTGCTCACGAATCTTCCTAACTACACATAATATATTACAGATTAAACAAATGCTAATTGTTTAACAAAGCACTAAGCAGTCAAACAAATAAGCAGAGAAGAAAGAGATTTACTAATTGTGGATGCTTGAGTAATAATCAGAGGATCACAAGGCTCCTTTCCAAGCTCTTCCATGATAGTAAGAACAGAGCTAACAGGTAACACCACATCATCCGTCACAGCCAACACAGTCTTCTGATTCACCATCGAATCCTACGAAACAATATACCCAAATACATTAAAAAGACTAAAACTTTGAAAACAACAAAAAAAACTCCACAGATCATGAAGTTAGCTACAAACACAAAAACAAAGCTAACAACTTGGATTACCCAAAAGCTCTAATAACATGCAAATGAATCAAATAATCGATTAACGCAATCGATTACAAGGATAAAAGAGCAAAAAAAACTAAACTCACCATATTGGAGAAGAAATCTCTGTAAAACCGTAGCGAGCGAGATACTCAAAAACCCTAAAAAAATCTCTCTTGTAAATCCTTTAGCACTTTGAAGAGAAATCAAAATTAAATCTTCTCACCTTCCTCGGCGTCTCTTTCTCTCTCTCTATTTTATATCTATTTCGCCGACTCCTTTTTTGCTTTATTTCTTGGTTCTTCTTCTTTCTATATAAACGCGGTTTGGTCAAACCGGGTTTATGATTTATACAGTTTCGTCTGTCCACGTTAATTAATAATTATAATTACAATTCGTTTGGTTAAACCGGGTCGCCTGTAGGAAGCAGATTAAAAAGCGTGCACCAAAAGAAGGAAAAGGTCTGAAGAAGAAGAGACCAACTACTCACTCAATCAGATGAAACATCTTCACCAAATCGTGGATAAACCCTAGTGGAAACTGGAAAGCAACTACTAATTCTCAAGACCAGATGTCGGAAAACGAATCTTGTTGTTTTTTGAATATTATGTTTTAATAAACTCAATATTATGTTCTAGTCACACAAAAAGTAAAATCATATCTGCAAGTTGGAATTTTGGATCTTTGAATGTGTTTATCTTCAGTAACACAAACAAAAAGCTCCGTAGGTACAAACAGTTTTCCAGGTTACTTGTTCAGAAAGAAAGGTGCAAACATGGTTATTATGAAGAAAAGTGATCTGGTGTTCTACTATACACACATGGGCATCAGCCAACGGTGCCTTTCTGAGGTAGAGTCTCGAAAGCAGATACAGTATTCTCAAACCTGACACGTGGCAGCGGTGCGCCGCTCTGTTTGATCGCACAAGCCGTTTTGTCTTCTAGGGGACAACGAGCTTTAAGCATGGAGAAGACATGGTTGTTCAGCCTCCGAGCTTTCTTCATCCCTTCCAACAAACCTTCCCATCCCTTTATTACACATTAAAAAAAGCAAAAAAGATATTCAAATGGAGAATGAGAGGATTCAGCACAACAATATAGTGAGAAGATGGAGAAAGGAAAATCTACCTGATGGTTTTGAGGATTCTTATGAGTATGTGAAGCAGAGACAGTTTCAACCTCAGAGACATTGAGTACTTGGTACGAGAAATCAAACAACTCAAAGTGAAGTTGCTGGCCGAGCAAGTAAATAATGGTGCAACCACCCCAAGCTATCGAATCACCTAGGACTTCATGTTGAGCTGATTGTGGAGCTGCTACCTCCTCCAGATATCCCTGAGTTCATTGCAAACTTTATATAAGAATTGAGAAGAGAGAGAAATGTTGTTGCGGTTGAAAAAAGATGTTTCAATAAGGTTTGCGCTTTTGTATGGCTTACAATCTGTAGACCACCGTATATACGGTAAAAATCCTTTGAAGTTGTAATGTCAATGAAGCCTGTCTTTGGAGGAGCACTCCATTTACTACAATATTTGTCGAGCGACGCACTTGTGAATGCAAGTGTGTATTCAAGAACGCTTCCACCGTTCATGTTTGCCTTATACAAAAGATCTGCACAGATGATATAATACCAAAAAGATTAAAACTCTTGTCACAGAAAAAGAGTAAAGAAGAAACTGGTGACTGAATAGCTACAGCTCTTAATTAACCTGCAGCTTCTGCCTGTTTGGACATAGTGTAAAACGCTGCTGGATTAAGACAGCCGGGACTTGAGACAACTGCAGAAGTTGCTGACTTTAAGAGATTGACAAGAGGGCTTTCACCGTCTTGAGCATTAACTATCTGTCCTTCAGCACCCGGGATCAATCCCAACCATGGAGCTGTTTGCATGAAACGCTTTGTGTCTACCTCTCTCTGTGTAACAAAGTATTATAAACATGTGTTAGACTATATCATAAGAATTTCTGGCTTTAAATCTTTACAATCTGTCAGATAAGACTGACCAATACGATATCTAGAAGTCCCATTGTATATATCACACTTCCAATCTCCTTTATTCCTCGTAGAACTTCTGATTTGAGCTCTGACTTACTGCCCCAATTTAGTTGTTCTCGTATAAGCTTCATACAACCTTTAAATGAAACAGCCAAAATCATCAGTATATATAACATCACAGAAAATCGTGACAAATCAAGAATACTGCAACTGGGTATTAACCTGTAACACCACCATCAAAAGAAAGCAATCCAATAGACTTGGGCAATGCTTCTTGCAATCCAGAGATCATTGGCTCAAGTGTCGTTATCTGAAAGTTTTAAGAAAAAGAACTATTTTAGCTGGTTCCTTTGTATAATTAGTGTCTAGACAAAAAGAATAAATGATACAAAAAGTACAAATACCTTATTTGATATGTGGTCAAGCAAAGCTCTTATAAGCCACGGCAATGATCTGGATCCAAGAAGTTTAACTATGGAAAACAAATGTGGTATCCCAAAAAAACCACTATGCAATCGTGCAAAACTTTGATGAGCTGCATTTAAGTCCTACCAGAGGAAAAAAAAAATAATGACATGAAAAATATAAAATGAGACCAAAGACACAAAATGGGTCTGTAAGATTGTTTCTGAATGAATCTTAAGAAAAAAATGGCTTAAGAGATTGCTCCTTACTTGAGTGCCACAATAGAAACTAGGCTTAGCAGAAGGCACTGATGGTTTCTGAGTAGGAGGAACTTTTGATGAACGGACAAATCGCTGTGTGGTATTGCAAAGAATGAAGTTTGGTAGGAAATCACTCTGCATCTCAGACCAAATCTAGCAGAAAACAACAAAAAAATCGAAGATTCAGAAAAGGGGACAAAATTAGGCTCAGGACTTATAATTTGTATGGCTGACCTGTGTAGCAAGTCGACTTGAAAATGAGACCAGAGAAATGTTTTCTTGCATTTCATTTAACATGAGGCTGAAAGGATCTATGGAAAGATCTTCTGAAAGCAATTCATGCGAGTGCTTTAGGATATCTATCAGCTTCTCCAATTCCTGGAATTGAAGAGAGCATCCACTTTTTCAAAGAAATGGTAATACATACAGAATCAAGAAAGTGGAAAAGAAAAATAAGCTTACCACTACAGCACATAGGTCCTGGGACTCAAAACGGTCAAAAAGAAACTCCAGATTCTCTCTAAAGATTTTATTCATCCTCTGAGCGATCAAACTTCTTAAATTAATTGTTCTACCTAGTATCTGAATGTCACAACAAAACTCAGTAAGATGATTGTATAAACATGCCAAGGCACACATAATTAGAACCACTGTTTGAAACATAATCTAATCCTACGTTAGATCATAAGATGGAGCTAAAGATTCAACTATTGTGACTTTCTATATAACAGGAAAGCAGTATTATATTCACCTTTACTTTTGTCATCTTAAATAACGCAGTAAACCTCACAGGTTGGATGGAGAACTTTTCACCATTGTCCAAGGCAAAGAGAAATGATGGATCAAGAAGCTCACTGTTGAGCTCAACAATTGATGACAAAAGGGTTTAGCTCCTCATTAGTTAACAGTGAAGGGGGTGAATAAATAAATAAACATGTTAGGTACCTTGCTGACCAACTCTTGTAATATGTGAATATAGACTCCGAGAGCCTTGAAACAAATATATCAAAACCATGGTCCACCTGCAGAAAGAAGACAGGATACAAAAAAACTTAAGTTTGTTCAAAGAACCTTTTTATTCAAGAAGACCTATAGGTTTATAGTTGTTGAGATCGGAATTGAACTCTAATTACCTCAGCTTCAATTTCATCGTAGAGGAATCTCTGCCTCAGGACAACCAAAGCTTGTTGAGCTGAGTCATTATAAATGTCAAAAGGCAGCAGAACACTCTCAAGAAGGCCTGAATTCTGGGCTTCCAGAATGTAGTCTATCAGCATCCATGGTAGTGAACACTCAATCGGGAACTGCAGTAGTTAACAAATAACTATTTGTAAGAACAAGTCAGGGCTGAAGAAAATATAGTTACAAGTGTATAACCTTTTCATATCGCTGCGTACCTGAATAACACGTGAAGACTCCAGGTAAAATTCTCTAAACCACAGGAACCCCAGGTCAGTCAATATTCCAATACTTGCTGCAGCAATCATAATAGAAGTTAAGGAGTCAGCTTACAAAAATATTGATATGGCAATAAACTAACCAAAAATATATATAAGCATGTGTGTTACCTGAGTAATCCAATATGTGCAAGAAAAAGCTGAGCTTGTAAAAAAAAGTTTCTAATTGCTTTAAGTCATTAACAGGAATCTCAGAGCCATTATTTCCAAAGAATCCCCCAGGTCTTCTCAGATTTCCACCAGAGACGACCTCATATATCAAAAACTGCAAGCAATGCACCTGAAAAAACAAAACAGCAAGAAGTTCAAGCACTGGGTCGTACCATCTGTTGTTGTACCTAAAATAATCGTGTAATAGACCCAAACCTGTGCTGCTGTTGGGGCAACTGGCCTCGGATAAAAGAAATTCCCTCTGCTTTCATCACTTCCATGTTGTGAAGATGGCATCTCATGTTCGGGCCTGGTATTTGCCATCCAGTCAGCTGAAAGTGTCCGCATATCAGAAAGAATCCTGAAAATGAAACCATAAATATGATACAGTTAATAATGGGGACGCTTAAGTTTAAGGAAATGTGACTTGAAATAGAAAGAAAATAAAGGAAAACTAATTTACCTTGAGAGATCTTTCTTCTTTCGGAAGGTGGTACGTAACATTGTGGCTAACGTGTTCTGAACAAAATCTTGAACTTCGGCATGTATTGTCTCCCATAAAGCATCAGCAACTAATGTGTCACAGCGTTGCAGCATCGATCCTACGCTCTTTATATAGCCAACAAGTTCTACCAAGGCTTTCCTTTCTTCTGCAGTATAATTGAACCTCACCACCTATAAAAAGGAATCAAAAACATGTTACCATAAAAGATAAACTTTTCAGAAAATGTTTCACAAGTTATTACCTTCTCGTAATCAGAATATGATCCTGAGGCTTCCGGAGTCTCTCCTGCATCCCTACATGGGCGAGAGAATTTCCATGCACATTGCTCCCAAATGCGTGCTGTCCATCTACTTAACAGTTGGAAACCTTCAACAACCATATCGTACATATTTCCTTTGACCTCTCTGCACCATTCGGTATATGCTCCATCGTTTGACTTCAACAGCAATAACTGCATGAAAGCAAGTGAGAA